TGCACCCCTCTCCAGGAAAGTTTGTAATATTGTCTGATAGTACTTATCTACTAGCTATGTAATAGCTTAATGCAGTTCCCTCCCGGTAATAATTATAATAAATCTCCTGGGATCATATTGTTCGCCTTGCCCTCTATTTTTCTCCGGTCGCTACGAATCTGGGCGAGTCACTGACTAGCCGTCACCGACCAACAGATTGGTCACGTGTAATGACTAATCCTAAGAATTCCGCGGGTCTCAGCCAATAAGAAAGCAGGATTCACAGGGCTCTGGCGGGCGCTGACTGGTCGATTCGCAGTTGCTCGTCCATTCTTCTGCTGGAACTGCAAATTGAAGGGAATCGCCCTCACATTATTATTGATCCCTCTCTTTCTCTCTCCTTCTCGCTTCTGCTACTTCCTCCCCCCAGTACTTCCTTTCTCCCCTCTCCTCAATCCGCATAGCTTCGACATCCTTGCCTTTTTTATCCTACACCCCGTCCGTGTCTGTTTATCCGACCCTGGGGCTTTCTCTTTTCCTCTTGTTTTGCTTGGTCCTGGCGTGCACCACCGCCGTCTTTTCGCCCTCCTCTACCCCCCCGGAAGACCTGGTGCATGCCTCGTCATAATCCACAAAAACAACCTCTGCCCTCCATCCTCCAGAGATAATCTCCATCTTCTGTCCACACTACCACTCTTTTGTTGTGGACGGTTTTATAATAGCCTGCTGGTTCTGTCTGCTTTGTTCTCTTTGAGTCAGGACAGCTCCTTCACCTTCTCTATTTTATTGTCTCTTTCGCTTGTGATCTCTTGGTTCTGTTTTCCGCATACGGCAACATGAACGTCACTCAGGTTTTGGAGAGTACCCTCTCGCCAGGTAATTTGTGTTCCCTTCCCTCTCATGTATACAAATTATATTATTAGATTTAAGGCATCAGAATCACTAACAGGCTATCTTGCTGGCAACTATAGATGCGGCGGCTCGTTCCCATGCTGAACAGCAGTTGGCCCACGCGGCGGAGGTTGACTTCGTAAGTTCTGGACTTGTTCTGTTGTCGGTAATTGGTTTTGCATCAGTCATACTAATCATCAACTCTTTTTCGCCGGACTTTAGGCCCAGTACCTTGTCACACTCGGTCAGGAACTTGCAAACGAAGACTCCGCGTCCCACATCCGTACCGCTGCCGGTATCGCTTTGAAGAACGCTTTCACTTACAGAGACCTCGCAAAGCTCCAGGAGGTCCAAACAAAATGGCTACAGCAAATTACCCCAGAAATCAAGGCGCAGGTCAAGGAGCTTGGCCTCAAGACGCTTAACTCGAAAGACGGCCGCGCCGGCCAGTCCGCCGCCCAATTCATCGTCTCCATCGCTGCCATCGAACTTCCTCGGAACGAGTGGCCGGAGCTGATGAACATCCTCGTCCAGAATGTCGCGAGTGGTTCCGATCAATTGAAGCAGGCCTCCCTGGTCACCATCGGCTTCATTTGCGAGTCCCAGGATGCTGAGCTACGCGAGAGCTTGGCTGCCCACTCCAATGCTATCCTGACCGCCGTCGTTCAGGGTGCTCGGCGCGAAGAGCAGAACATGGACATTCGATTCGCCGCCATCAAGGCCCTCAGTGATTCCGTTGACTTCGTGCGGTCCAACATGGAGAACGAGGGTGAGCGGAACTACATCATGCAGGTGGTGTGCGAAGCGACACAGGCCGATGATCTGCGTGTGCAGGCGGGCGCATTTGGTTGCCTGAACCGTATTATGGGTGCCTACTACGATAAGATGCGCTTCTACATGGAGAAGGCTCTGTTTGGCCTGTCGATCATGGGAATGAAGAGCGAAGAGGAGGATGTGGCTAAGCTGGCCATTGAATTCTGGTGCACCGTTTGTGAGGAGGAATACGCTATTGAGGATGATAACGCGGCGGTAAGTCTTGTCCATCATCTGAAAGCAGCTATGCCGTGGATATTGTGGCTAATTTTGAGTTAAATAGGCACAGGCAGAGGGTCTCCCGGAGGTCCGCCCCTTCTTTGGATTTGCCCGCGTCGCCTGCCGGGAAGTCGTTCCCGTCCTCCTGCAGGCCATGTGCAGACAGGATGAGGATGCCACGGACGATGAGTACAACGTCTCTCGCGCTGCTTACCAGGCCCTGCAGCTCTACGCTCAATGCGTGCAGGGTGATGTGATCCAGCCTGTCTTAACCTTTGTCGAGGAGAACATCCGTAACGAAGACTGGCGCCACAGGGATGCTGCAGTTGCAGCATTCGGCGCCATCATGGATGGCCCCGATCCCAAGGTCCTGGAGCCTCTTATCAAGCAGGCTCTTCCTGTCCTCGTTGGCATGATGCAGGACAGCTCCATTCAGGTCCGTGATTCGGTCGCCTACGCGCTCGGCCGTGTCTGTGACTTCTGCTCTGAAACCCTTGACCCTGACGTGCACCTCCAACCCCTCATCACATGCCTGTTCAACGGCTTGGCAAGCTCTCCTAAGATCGCCAGCTCCTGCTGCTGGGCTCTGATGAACGTTGCCGATCGTTTTGCCGGCGACATTGGCGCCCAGACCAACCCTCTGTCCAAGCACTTCGAGGACAGTGTCAAGTCTCTCCTTGCTCTTACTGAAAGGTAAGTCCGTATTTAAGCCCCAGGCTGCTGTTCTGAAGCCAGCCGCTAACTTCATTTCAGACAAGATGCAGACAACCAGCTCCGTACCGCTGGATACGAGGTCCTCAACTCCTTTGTGACCAACGCTGCTAATGACAGTCTTCCCCTTGTGGGCAACCTCTCCGACGTCATGCTTCAGCGTCTGGAACACACTATCCCCATGCAACAACAAGTGGTTAGCGTGGAGGACCGCATCACCTTGGAAGAGATGCAGACTAGCATTACTAGCGTGGTACTTGTATGTTTATCCTGTTCCCAGCATTTCTCCCGCTGTATCTGACTTTCTAGGCTGTTGTTCAACGACTCGAGACCGAGATCAAGCCCCAAGCCGACCGCATCATGCAGGTGTTGCTTCAGATCCTGGCCACTGTTCCTCCTAAGTCCAGTGTCCCCGATGTTGTATTCGCCACGATCGGTGCCATTGCGGGCGCTTTGGAGGACGACTTCATCAAGTACATGGACAACTTTGCCCCCTTCCTGTACAAGGCCCTGGAGAACCAGGAGGAGCCGGGTCTCTGCTCTATGGCCATCGGCCTGGTCAGCGACATCTCGCGTGCCTTGAACGAGCGGGTGCAGCCCTACTGCGACGGGTTCATGAACGCTCTTCTCACAATCCTGAGGGTAAGGAACCAATTCTGCTATGTAAAGAGACCCATTGCTAACACTGCCTCCGCAGTCCTCGACCAACGTGCTGAAGCCTGCAATCCTTGAGACATTCGGTGATATTGCTCAGGCTATTGGCACCCAGTTCGACACCTATCTCAATGTCGTTGCCCAGGTTCTTCACCAGGCCTCTGTTGTGACCGCCAGCAACGACGTAACCCCCGAGATGCAAGAATACATTGTCTCGCTGCGTGAGGGTATCATGGATGCTTGGGGTGGTATTCTCTTGTCCTACAAGGGCAAGCCCCAGGGTAAGTGACTCTTAGACATGCACCAACGAACACTCCATTAACATGATATTAGTCTCCCAACTGCATCCTTTCGTGGACCACATCTTCCAGTTGCTCCACACCATTTCTCAGGATTTCAACCGCAGCGAGGGTCTGATGCGGGCAACTATGGGTGTTATTGGGTAGGTTTCATCCACTGTTACAACTCCGGCCTCATGACTAACGTGCTTTAGTGATCTGGCTGATGCTTTCCCGAACGGCGAGTTTGCTGCCTACTTCCGTAACGACTGGGTCACCAGTCTGGTCCGTGAGACGAGGACCAACAGGGAGTTCGGATCTCGTACTATCGACACCGCCCGGTGGACTCGTGAGCAGGTCAAGCGTCAAATCACGATGTCTACTGCCGCTGCTATGGCGTAAGCCGTTGCTACCTGCTGCTATTCAAACCCAGGTGCTCGTTTCCGAGACCACGCCCCTAGGAGGACGACCTCATCCGTTGGTGCTCTCAGGGAAGTAACGACACTGTCGCTGCTCCCCGAGTACCCGTCCCCACACGGGAATCCAAGCCCGCGTTGTGCTAGCGATCGCTCAAATCCTAGGATTCACTTGGCCGTGCCCAGTGAATCAGCGCACAAGGGCTAGTGTTTCCATCACCCCGTATATCACCACCCTTGCCCAACGACCCTCTCCCTATCACCGATGTATGACACCATTTGAGCACCCCCTACCCCTTCCCCCGCACCTTCCCCTTCTCCCCGTTCCCGTCCCCAACACTTCGGCCCTCTGTCCGGCACGACCCCCCTGCTTTCGGACCCCTGTTGTCATGACATCTCGCAATGCATGTTTGCACTTTCCCTTCCGGCCTTTTGTTTCGATCTTCTCCTCTACTATTACTATCAACTTTGCCACATCTTTGCGCCCCCACATCAGTCCTAATTAGACAGAGGTTCTTTAGCATTATCATGTATGCCCGAGAAGTCATGTAACCAACCCCCTTTGAGAAACACTGTCACGAATCCCTTGACCCTGCTCCACGTATCATCTCATCCTACCAAAAGACCAGTATAGAGAATGGTAAAAAGCAAGAAACAACATGAGAGCAAATAGTAATGCGTAACCGAATGATTGCCGGGACGGACTAGTCTAGCATTGTTGCCAAGCCGAGTCGATTGCCGCAGTGATACAAGACCAAAGTGTGGATTGCGGCATCACTTTCCTATACACGAGTCGGATAGCCTACCTGCTTAGTTAATAAGCTAATGTCTCAATCAAATGTTTTTGACAGCCCGGAAGCAATCGTCTATGGGAATTTGACCATAATGGTCGAATCTTCAGTTTTCTCTATACAAAGTGGAGGTATAGTTGTTTCTGCCTCAGGCACTAAAGGAAGCGGTGAGCAGCACGTGACTGATAAGGGCACGGATCGGCAGCCCTAGCGGCCGCACAGCGAAAACTTCTCACCTCCAAGAGATCCCGCTGCTGTTTTCTCCTCCTACACTCGATCTTACCGACGTCGTCGACACATCCCTCGAGGTATGTATCAATCGTTATTTCGCCCTATTCTACAGCCTCCCAGCTAGTCTGAGGAAGCAATCACCATGGAAATCCGCATATTCGGCCTTGCTGGTGTAGTCCCCCGACAGCAGAGGATAATCGGAGGACCGGGTGATACGCTTTCCTCACTACGGCACGGGCTGAAGAACCCTTGTTTATGCAAAAGGGGCACTCTTTGCGCTCGAGGACTACTGGTGGCTGACTATTATGGACCCAATTCCTCACCGGTGGTGTGAGGACTGGGCATCGTAAATTTTAGATACCTCATATCCTTCGATTCCTCGATTTGAGAATCTCGATTCCACACCGTCAAAATGGTCAAAACTTCCGTCCTCAACGATGCGCTTAACGCCATCAACAACGCCGAGAAGAGCGGTCGCCGTCAGGTCCTGATCCGCCCTTCCTCCAAGGTCATCATCAAGTTCCTTTCCGTCATGCAGAAGCACGGTACGTTCATGTCTTACAACATCACCAACATCGTGAAACAAAGAGTTCCGGGCACTTGCAAGGTCGAACCGCCAAGGAGGTGATGAAAAATTCGGGTTGATAACTAGGCGACGGTTATAGACCAACCACGGCTTTCGCCCTTTAAGTGCCCGAGATATTGACAAGTGTTGTTTACAACATGGCGGCGATCTTACAAGTTTCCGGAACTCTTTATTTCTTCTGTGTTTGGTTAATTTTTAAATCACCGCAACAAATTGCTGACTCTTTTTCCTTCTTCAGGCTACATTGGCGAGTTCGAGGAGGTTGACGACCACCGCTCCGGCAAGATCGTCATCCAGCTCAACGGCCGTCTGAACAAGTGCGGTGTCATCAACCCCCGCTACCCCGTTCAGCTCCGTGACCTCGAGAAGTGGGCCACTCAGCTCCTGCCCTCCCGTCAGTTCGGTTACGTTGTCCTGACCACCTCCGCTGGTATCATGGACCACGAGGAGGCTCGCCGCAAGCACGTTGCCGGCAAGCTCCTCGGTTTCTTCTACTAAAAAGTTTACCCTGGAAGTTTTTTTTTTGATGGCGAGGATCTAGTTTGTGGTGCGAGGGATGAACTCTCGTGGCTTGGCGGAGTTGGATCGATACCCGGCAGAGATGTCTAGATAGTTATTGATCGAGTGATCTCGCGAATGAACTGATTCAAGTCATCATTATTGTTCTACCACATATGCAAGTAGGGTAATCATTATTTTCAGTAAATTTAGGACTGGCCGGGCCGAGGTCTGACCGCCGCCCCATGTTTCCCCGCAACATCTCCCGCTATCCATTTATCAACACCGTCTCATGCCTACACATCCCAGCCAACTACAATCCCTTACCCCCCGTCTTCTTCTCCTAATCCCTTAAGAAAAGTATTCCAACATGCCTCTAGACACAATATACCTCACCCGCCATGGTGTAAGTCCTCCGACCCACCATATCCCACCCCCTACTACTTCCCCGTCTCCCCTCCATCACAACTAAGTACTAAGAAAATATCTCCAGCACCGTCTCAACTGGACAATCGACTACAAAACGGGCACCTACCACGCCCAATTCCCTACTCCAACCGGTAACCCAGCGGACCCAACCCTGACCTCTCACGGCGTGCGCCAATCCCACGAACTGGCCGCCCATTTCACCAGCGACAATGTATCCCCCAAGCCGTTCCGCATCTACAGCAGTCCATTCTACCGATGTCTGCAGACGATCCAACCCACAGTCGAGGCATTGAAGCAGCAGCAGCAGCAGGCATCTACCACCCCAGCTACTAACAATGAGCCCCCCGCAATCGACACCCACGCCGACTTGACCGTCCGCACTGAACCAGGCCTGGGGTACGTTCCCCCTCCTCTCCCTCCCTCCAATTTACCAACATAACATATAAACTGATATCTAATGGACTGAATACAGAGAATGGTTTGGCCCAACAACCTTCTTCCACCACCCAGCCCCTGCACCCGCCTCAATCCTCTCCTCCCACTTCCCCACCATCCTCCCATCCTCATCCAGTGAACAAACCACCTACACCCCCATCCTCCACCCCTCCACCCGCGGCGAAACCATCGCCCAACTCCACGACCGCGTCGCAACCACCCTCTCGGCCCTCATCATCTCCGTAGACGAGGAAATCTCCACCATCGAGGCCTCCCTCCCTCCCTCGCAACGAACCAGCAAAGCAATCCTGATCTGCTCGCATGCTGCGCCGCTGATTGCTATGGGAAGGGCCTTGACGGGGGATATGCCCGCTGATTCCTCGGTCGAGGATTTCAAGGTTTATACGGCGGGTGTTAGTACATTCAGACGTAGAAGGGCAGGGGAGGGTAATAGGGAAGGGGAAGGGGATGGTGGAGAGGGTGGTGGTCTTGCGCCGGGGACGGAGGTAGTTAGAGGTGATGATGGAGGGGTGAAGGTTCCTGACTGGAAGGGAGGGAAGGGGGTTGCTGGGGGGTGGGAGTGTGTGAGTAATGGGGATTGTGCGTTTTTGAGTGGTGGGGCGGAGAGGGGATGGTATGTTTCTCTTCCTTTATTACCCCATATGGTTTTTGTGTGTTGGTTCGGGTATGTTGTGTGGTTGTTGATTGCTAACTGGTGCTGATGTAGGCACTTCGATGGCGACGAGTCATTTGATACGGGCCCCATGGCTGGTCCGTCGGCTACCCCGACTTCTAGTGTAGATTCATCGGCTGAGACTGATTTGGGGGGCAGTAAGTTATAGATAGAGTGGATTATGTGTGGGTGGATGTGGATAGATTACTTGAAGGTACACTGCAGTAGATATATGTTGCGCTAATAGACTAGATATCTTGCCGCACTAAGCGGTATGGAAATATGATCGCAGCTATCAATACATCATGAACACAAGTTTCAAATCACCGAGTATACTCAGTACAAGTCTAATAGCTCCGCTATGGCTAATTCTCAGTTTGGGGTATCGTGTTGGGTGCATTCTCACCCGTTTCTCTCTGTTCGTTCTCGCTGCTCTCCTGTGCCTGTGCCTGAGCCTCACCAGTCGTGCCTGCGTTGGTGGCCTCTTCCTCCTGTCGACGTCGCTCTTCTTCCTCTCTTGCACGCTCTGCGTTCCGGGCCGCTTCTGCGGCATTGCGCACTTCCACGTGTCTCTCGCCCACGCCCGGAACCAAGCTTGCAATGAAAAGCGCCAAGGACCGTTCTACGCGGCGCAGCTGGTGTCGCATTCCGGTTGGCTGAGCAGTGGGAACGTTCCCTTGCCCAGTTGACTGCGTGCCAGGTGGTGCTGGAGTCGGTTCGTCCGGAGCGAAATGAACCAGTCCTTCCAGGTGTCGTTGCACTGGCGCCACAAGCATTCGGTACAACTGCTGTGGGATCCCGGTTTCTGACAGGAGTGAGACAAGGACGGCTAGGGTTACATACACCACGCGAGACCATGTGCCCGGTTCGCTGAACATGTAGCAGAAGAAATACAAGCGCACAAATAGCCACATGCGTCGGAGATTGCGTGTGAAGCTCAATTGCCCGTTGTTTTCGATGCGTTGGTTGAGTACGGCCTGTCGGACAATGTTCTCCATGACAACTGCGTTCGCATTGTGAATCTCCGGTGGAGCACCTGTACGAGGCGCAGAGGCTCCGGTCGGGGAGTGCATGGCTCGGAGTGTATCGAGAGAAGACTGCATCGTTTCTGCACCGCGGGGAGATGCAACCAGGGCTTGATAGCCGTTTGGTGACGAGAGAAGGTACAGAGGAGCCTGCCCTGGTGCGGGATTGGGAGGTCCAGATAGAACAGGTGTGGGCATGGTTCTAGCTTGTGAGACGCGGAGCTGATCGGCGCGGGTATAGATATTAAAGACGCGAGTGAGCAAAGATTCAATCGAGCCGTCGCGCTCAGCACGTGGGTTCTGATATTGGTCGTCGAGCAAAGCGAACAATTGTGTACGTATGCGAATTATATGGTCCATTGGGGGCGCAACCCCCCGGTTCAGTTGCTCTTCGCCAAACGCAATCTGATTTCTGAGTATTTGTAGGCGCAATCGGACTTCTTCGGGGAGGTTGCTATGGACATTGGCTGTTCCCGATGAGCCGGAAGCCATTGTGAAATCAGATGAGATGGACGAATGTCCTGGGTGCGATAGACCAGGTGTTACGTGTGGCCATGCAGGTTGCTGAGCGAACGAAGCTGTCGTAGTCGTGGATGTGGTCGAGTGGGAAGTAGCCCCCGCGGTGCCTGCCGCGACGCCTCCCAACGGCCCGCCCCGTTCCTGCATATCAATCTGTCGACGAATAGCCTCGATATTCCGCCTCAAGGCGAGTCCGATCTCTGCCTCATGGGGAACAGCGGGCAATGCGGGACCTCGATACCTGATCTCTTGTCCGTGAGGCAGGTGTTGCGGCGTGAATCGGTTCGATGAGAATGGACTCTGAGGCGCGGGGTTACCTGAAGCTCCCCGCGGCATTGGAGCAGGAGCTCTGGCAGAAGTTGAAGCATGGGGAACTGGGGCAGGAGGAAGGACGAGGTGGATGGAATACTCGGTATCCTGGGTCAAGTATCACTGTTAGTATCTGCCGACTACAAGGGGGCATAGGAATAAGATCATACGCACATTTGATGACTCTAACACATCATTTAGCGCCACGGCGTCGTTCGTAAGGGGCTTCCCCCGGTATATCAGCCTCTGAGTTTCAGGGGATGGTTCACTCGGAATGGTCTGGGCGATTCGAGCTTTGAGAGTGGAGATGGTGGTGGATGGAGAGATGTCGTGGAGAGTGAATCGGTTAGGAGGAGGTAAAGATGGACATAGCACATGTAATACTATGCTCTGTGGAGATTCCGCCAGAGCGGACTGGGTTTCTGAAGACGCGGTCATCCTGGGATTGTTCTGTCCTTGCGGAGGGATGTTGGGCGTAGACAATCACGGGCGCATAATCGAAGTCGCAATGCTCACTGCAAGAGAAACAATGGCGTAAAGCAGAGGAGAATGATAAAGTTGGGATCAGTCGAGTAAAATTGACACAATGACAATATGAACAAGTGCTAACTAGTAAGTGATGTGCATGAACCAGACAGCGAGGGACCGCGGGAGAAGTATACAGAAGCCGGAATGATGACGGTGTCCTTTTCAACCCGAGATGTGACTGGCCACAACCACGCGAGGCAAGCAACAAAGAAGAACAGCTAGGATGCTCACTTGAACACGATATCACATTCACACCCACAAGCTGTTCAGAACAACCGAGCACACAACAAAACAGTTCGAACACAGACCAGACACAGGCAACAATGACAGTGAAGCCGCGCGGACGAGGGGATTCTGCCAGGCGGTGAAGCAGCAAACGATGCCGATCACGGGTTTTGTGTTTTGGCTGTCATGAGATTGACGATCCCATCCTGCAATCACGACTGCTTCCTCGGTTGATCCGATTCCGTGATCAGAGGGCAGGTGTCTCGCACTTGTTGCTTTTACTCCCCCTCTGGGATGACTTGCTCCGAGTAGAACCGCATTATGGCCCTGTGCCTGTCCAGCCGTTCTGCCCTGTGTTGCCGGAAGTTCGCAGTCTCCCCTCATGGGGAGAAGGTAGGATTGATGGAAGTCTCGTTGCGGGCCACTGGTCGTCGTAAGACCGGTACCAGGCAGTTTTCGCAGTCCTGGAAACAGTATCAACATCAAAACTCCCACGAAAACCCTTCCCCTCGAAGCACCTTTGGCTCCCGACTCCGTTTTGCCCTGCGGAACACCAAAGTCGAATGGTATCCCATCCCCGTCGGTCTCGGTATCGGCTTGCTTGGCTTGCTACAGTTTTACAAGGCCCAGCGGGCGGAACGTGAACGTGCAGAAAGAGAAGCTGCCGGCGAGACTTTTGATTTCGAAAAAGCTCCTCCCCGACCAAAGCACCGACTGAGCGGACCATGGCAGGTCCAGATTATGTCTACCCTGCCGCTCAAGGCCATGTCGCGGCTTTGGGGACGGTTCAATGAGATTGAGCTGCCTTATTATTTCCGTGTTCCAGGATTCAAGCTCTACTCTTGGGTCTTTGGTGTCAACCTGGACGAGGTTGCGGAACCAGACCTTCATACCTATCCCAACCTGGCGGCCTTCTTCTATCGCAAACTGAAACCGGGTGTTCGGCCTCTGGACCCTGACACTCGCGCTGTTCTCGCACCCTCCGATGGACGTATCCTACAATTTGGATTGATTGAACGTGGTGAGGTCGAACAGGTCAAGGGCGTCACATACAGCTTGGATGCCCTGTTGGGTGCCGCGACCCCGAACCATGCAGACCACACGGATAAGTTCACAGACCACCAGAGCGAGCCGGCTCATGGAACCGAAGCAAAAATGCTGGCGGACGCGGAGTTCGCCAAAATGAACGGCATCTCATATACGCTTCCCACGCTCCTTGCAGGAGACCAGGGTGGCGCCCGGAAGCGTTCTGCATCCATTGATGCGTCCACCCCATACAAGGCCTCTGCCGAAGCCGAAGTCAAGGCTGATCTGGCTCGAGGGGATGGTGCGCCATGGTACGCCCCGAAGCCGACGTCCAACAATGCTCTCTACTATGTCGTGATCTACCTTGCTCCGGGCGATTACCACCGTTTCCATTCGCCAGTGCCGTGGGTGGTGCAGAGTCGCCGACACTTTGCGGGTGAACTGTTCTCGGTGTCCCCGTACCTGCAGCGCCACCTACCAGGTCTCTTCACCCTCAACGAGCGTGTCGTGCTGCTGGGCCGCTGGCGTTGGGGTTTCTTCAGCTATACCCCTGTGGGTGCCACGAACGTTGGCTCGATCAAGGTGAACTTTGACGCAGAGCTGCGGACCAACAGCCTTACGACGGACACCGCGGCCGACATGGCAGCCGCCGCTGCGGCCAAGCGTGGTGAGCAGTATCCTGGATTTGTTGAGGCCACTTACCTCCACGCCAGCCAAACCCTGGGAGGTCACCCTCTGCAGCGTGGTGAGGAAATGGGCGGATTCCAACTTGGTAGCTCAATCGTGCTGGTGTTCGAGGCGCCGGTGGGCACCCGTAAGTCATTCGACGCGGGCTGGGAAGAGGGCCGACGCGAGGGAGGATTCAACTGGACCATTGAGAAGGGACAGCGCATTAAGATGGGAGAGAAACTCGGATTCGTTGACGTTGAACATTAGAGGGGGACATGAGTGGGAATTTACCACCAAAAAAGCCATATTAGAACAATTTGTGCACCACCGGACCAAGATCCGAGGCGCTTGCTTATGTATCATACATTTTTTTCTGTACATCTCAGCTATTAGCTGATCTAATAACTAAACAGTCCCCATCTCATCTACCCCATATACTCCATAGTAAATGGTAAAATAGATGACCCCGATAAGAGACACGTGACTGATAACGGCAGTCCATCCATGAAGCTTTCCATCCATTCTCCATCCAACATCAACATACCCTTCAATCTCTCACGAACCATGGCTAATTCACAATAAATTGCTTCTAACCTCTTATCCAAAATGCCGCGTCACCATCATCTCCTCCGTCGACATCCCGCGCCAGACACCTCCTCCCCCTCCGACAACACCACACCCCACCACGCACCGCAACAACCGCCCCCGGCGCCCCAACGCGCCAGTCGCTCGCGCCTCGGCCATCACGCGCAATTCCAGACCCCTCCCTCCCAAGGCCTCTCCATTCCCACGCTTTACCCTTCCTCTGGAACCTTTGACCCCGATCATCCTCTCCAGAGCCACCCCAGCCAGCATGCAGCTCCTCACCCGGCCGCAACCGCCGCCCTGTTCTCCCTCTTCGGACGCGGTGTGCATGGCCGTCCGCCCAATCAACCAGCGGACCAGATGATGGACGATGAGGAGGTTGATGAGGACGAAGAAGAAGACGATGAAGACGCCATTCCGGAAGAATATGACGGTGTAGGATTCAGCCATGAGACAACACTCAGTTCTATTGCCCATCAGCGTACCCGGCACCGACAGCGTCAATTTCAGCGCTCTATTTCAGAAGAGGATGGTATGCTTCCCGCTCATGATGTGGATGTGGAAGGTCCATCTGACATCGAGGAAGAAGTGGAACATGATGAGCAGGTCGAGGTGGACGAAGAGGATGAAGAGGGTGTGGAGATTGAGCCTGAAGCTGGTAGCGAGTCCGAGATGCTACATGAGCGCGGTATGTACACTTCCCACTCTACAGCTACCTGCTTAACACACAAACTAACCATTCGATCTATGTGCAGAAAAATCCCCAACTCCCCTCCCAGCTAACCTTCGCGAAATCTCCTCCCTAGCTAGCTGGACCGTCTCGACTCATAAACCCGGCTGCGGCGTGACTGCTCTTCGCCACCCGTCTCCAACGCAGTACTGGCAATCTGACGGTCCGCAGCCGCATACCCTCACTTTACACTTCTTGAAGTTGGTGGCTATTGTGCGCATCCGCGTGTATTTGGATTTTGAGATGGATGAGAGTTATACACCCACCAAGATGACGTTCCTGGCAGGCATGGGCGGGAATGATTTGGTCGAGTTTGCCAATTGGGAGGGTGAGGGGCCGTGTGGATGGGTTGATGTGGAATTGGAGGGCGTTGGTGGGAGGAGTGGAGGGTGGGTTACTACCGATGCACAGAGGCAGGGTGGTGGAACTGGAGGGAAGAAGAAGAAGAAGTCGGGAAGGAGGAGGAAGGGAAAGGGGAAGAGGAGGGGCGGGTTTATATTTGAGGATCCTGATGTTGATGTGGATGAGGATGAGGATGACGATGACGATGAAGACGAGGAGGATGATCCGTATGCGGGCAATGTGCTCAAAGCCATGGTCATTCAGATGCGGATTATCGAGAATCACCAAAATGGCAAAGATACGCATGTGCGCGGCTTCCAGGTGTTTGCGAGAGATGATGAGAGAAAGAGGGTGGGTAATGCGCCGTCTGCGTCGGCGGATGGCCGTGTCCGGAGACACAGTGCTAGACGGTCGTTGAGGGCTAGTACGCAGGAAGATATGGAGCGTGATGGTGTTTCCAAGGTGGTGACGAGTCTGGAGGAGCCGGATTGGATGGGCGAGCCTGTCATTCGGTAGTACTCATTCATTGTCTGCGACGCGCACGAAGTGGGCATAGTCGATTGATAGCATTTCGCGGAGTTTTAGATACCCCTTTTACATCAATATGTTATACACTCAGCCGCTGTCATACACACCCATCATCACCTAGTTGATCACGAGAGTAGTGAGTAGTAGTAATGTAATTATTATATTCATTTAGATCCAGTCATATCTCATGCGGGTCACCCGCCCAACAATCAATACTTTTCGCACATCATGAAAACCCAATCATGCAAGCACTGCATGGCTTAACCTACTTCAACAACTTCTCCAGCTCGGCCGCAACGGCATCACCAACCTCGCTAGTGGTAGCCTTACCGCCAATGTCACCGGTACGGACACCGGACTCAAGGACATTGCGGACAGCAGCCTCAATAGCGCGGGCCTCATCGAAGCGACCGAAAGAGTACTGCATCATCATAGCGACGGACAGGATAGCAGCGACGGGGTTGACGATGCCCTTGCCAGCAATATCAGGGGCAGAGCCTGAACCCAGTTAGCAAACCGCACTTCCACCACGACCCAAAAATAAGTGAGAAAGAGGGAAACAACATACCATGAATAGGCTCATAAATACCATTAACCCTACCCTTACCATCAGGGATACCACTCAAACTAGCACTAGGCAACAATCCCAGAGAACCAGGAATAACACTAGCCTCATCACTGATGATATCACCGAACAGGTTACTCGTGACAATAATGCCGTTCAGCTGACGGGGGTTCTTAACCATAATCATAGCCGCAGAATCAATAAGCTGGTGCTCAATCTTCAACTGCGGGAACTCCTTCGCCATGATCTCGGTGACCGTCTTCCTCCACAACCGACTCGTAGCCAGCACGTTGGCCTTATCCAGACTCCACACGGGGAGAGGGGGGTTGTGCTGCAGAGCAAGGTGGGCCGCGAGGCGCGTGATCCGCTCGATCTCGGCGCGCGAGTACGGCTCCGTGTCCATGGCGTAGCCGCTGCCGTCATCTTCCTTGCGGTCACCGAAGTAGATTCCGCCCGTCAGTTCGCGGATGATGTTGAAGTCGACGCCCTCGCAGACGGAGGCTTTCAGGGGGGAGTGTTCGACCAAGGAGGGGGCCGCGAAGTTGCAGGGACGCAGGTTGCCGAATGTGCCCATCTCTTTGCGAAGCTTGAGGAGACCCTGCTCCGGGCGGACGGCGCCGGTGCCCCATTTCTGTGGGTTGGGTTAGTTGTTGTTGTTGGTGATGAGGATGGGGGTGGAGGATAGATCGGGGGAGTGTACCGGTCCACCGATGGCACCGAGGAGAACGGCATCGGCATTCTTGGCCGCGGCCAGGGCCTCGTCAGTCAGAGGGTTGCCTGTGGCGTCAATGGAGGCCTATGTAGCTGTATCAGCTGTTTATGGTCTTCCATAGATGGGATTTGGATGGGACGTACACCGCCCAGCAGGTGGTCCTGGAGGTTGAGGGTGATGTCATCGCGGCTCTTCTCGATGACGCGGAGGACCTGTAGCGGAGCAGAATTAGTCTTTGGGGAACTTTCGGAGCTCAATTCGTAGCTGAGCGTGGTTTGCTAACCTTGATGGCCTCGGCGGTAACCTATATGGACATTGGCAATGGGTCAGTCGATTGTCCGGAGCTGTACATGGGTATAGGCTCAGCGCGGACTCACCTCGGGACCGCAGTGGTCACCGGCGAAAACGACAATGTTGTAGGCGGGCATGATGAGGACAAGCAGGGAAGATAGTCTGGCACGGGGAAGGTGGACGATTGAGCGGAGGAGAGCGAGGTATAAACTACAACTTATACGGACTGGCGGGGCAGTTGGCGAGCCTCCCCGCGCCGACACCGGAGCCACTGCCGGCCCTATTCCACCTCCGGTTTAGCGCGGCGTGTGTACTTTTACCCACGCTTACCACCGGAGTTACAGCTATTAGTTATCTAACTATTATTAACCTTGACTCACTTCACACCAAGTGTCCACTCTAGTAGTCCCGATTAAAAATGCTATCGACGATGGCGGCGCCAATTTAATCACATGAAAAAGCATTGAAACAAAGACAGAAGCCATGCAAGTAAAAATTCACACAAAGCACGCCTCCAATATCGTCCCATTTTGCCCTGAGACGTCTGTACACCCAGCCTTATATGCCGCAGTCCCGCCCATCACATATACTAAGACATGACCGATATCCTCGAGCCAGAGAAAAGAAACAGAAGGAAGAAAAGGAACATGGGGTAATGGATATTATGGGGAATCTCCTGGATCACTCTTGACTGTCCAAAAACAATCAAAGCACCAGAAACATGCAGAAAATACCTGACCCGGTCGGGGAACATAACATCACTCCTCCGGAACCCGGAAACGTAGCCCAACGGGCATTATCGAGTTGACTGGTAGCTAGATCAAGCCAGCTTCAGCCATGAACAGTCACAGCATGGCTTAGTTCTTCTTGCCATTGCGCATGGCCTTGCGGCTAGCAATGTCGCCCTCCACCAGCCACTTGCTCGCCTTGACCAGCTGCACAACGTTGATGAACTGCTTCAGAGCCATGACAGGAGCCGAAATGCCAGTGATCACCCAGGGCCAGAAGCTGTCGATCTTGTTCGCACGCGCCATCTCCAGAGCCCCAGCACTCCAGGGGCTGGCAGTGCTCACAGGCTGCAGGAGGGAAGGAGACAGAGTGGGGGAAGAGAAAGAGAGCAGGTACAGTCCAATGAAAAACAGCTCATTCAGCGCGCAGCAGATGAACAGAACCGTCTGTGGCGCATGTCAGCATGTTGACGGAAGATTGACGCAAAGGAATAACGAACCCTGCTGTGGTAATACTGGTACAAGATCCAGCTGCGACTAGCCTCCACCTTCTTGTGACTCTGGCTGGAACCTCCCATGCTAAGAGTCGCGTACATGTGCATGTAGTGACTGGCCATGTCCAAAGCGATCAAGCTCTGGAAGATGATGGCCCACCGTGGCCAGGCGGAGCTCAGGAAGACGAGCAGACACGCGGTCGTGCATCGATCTGTCACCATGTCCAGCACCGCGCCAAATGTGGTAGACTGGTTATAATACCGCGCCGCATATCCATCCAGGGCATCCAACAGACACGACACGCTGTAAAGGAGGGAGCACGTCCGTGGGTGGAGGGGCATATAGTAGAGCGAGGCCATCGTCAACACAACACGCGCATATCCTAGTCCCGTCCAAAGTTAGGCGTTGTCAGACTGAAATAGCGTCGTTGAGCCCTTACCGATCAAGTTCGGAGCGAAAAGGAACACATTTTCCTCCACATCCCCATCAGCAGTAACTGATGCACTGTTCTTTGGCGAATCCTGCAAGGTCCCGTTAACGGCAGGCGATGGATCGGTTGCCTCCAGCTCAGCGGCGGCTTTCTGTGATCTAGTTCGGGGGCCCATCGTGGCGAAAATAATATGAAAGTTGGAGAAGGAAGTAGAACTAGTTTGTAGCACGTTTCGGAGGAGAAAACACCTGGGCGACGGGGAGTTGACGGAAGAAGGAGAAGCTCTATCCGAGGGGTTCCACGAGGGACGGCGAGTGGACCGTGTCCGAAGCAAGCTCCGAGTCAATCGGAGCAGCAAAACTCAGTCGGGCAAGAAGGCTAGAGAGCTGAATGCAATAACGTTAGAAAGTCCCACAAGGTCTCACTAAAATCGGACCACGAGGTCAAGGCAGGTTCAGATGGGATGAGAGAAGATGACGGAGCCGGAGATTCTCCTGAAAGCTTTGTGGAACACGTACCTTCTGCTTTTTGCGACGCGCCTGTGCCAGAAGCCAAAGACCACAGGATCTGAGTGGGTAACAGAGATTAATGTCACTGTACAAAGAAGAAACGCAAACAACGTCGTAACTATCTTAACAGCGCGTGGTAAGGCAGTCTGTCGAAGTTGGTCAGGAGAGGAAAATGGCCATGTGTGAGGTTTGGCGATAAGGTTGGGGGGTGATAAGAAGGAGCCACTCACGATGCGGTCACCTTAATCCATCCGCTGCAATCCGGGGAGTGGTGCGATTACACTGGTCAAGACAGCCAAGCTGAGAAGAGTCGATGTGTGACAACAAGTTATAATAGAAGCCAAGTGATGTTGAGAAAGGTCCAGGGAGCCGGCCGATCAGGAAAAGCTGTTTGTTCCTCTGTTTGCGGCCAGCCTTGCATTCTTTTCCGGGCCGGGCCCGACCAAGAGTGCCCGTGGACCCTGATCTACCCTTCCCATGCATCGATGCAAATTCAACCTGCGACTATCTAGTTCTTTACTTAAACCCATCCTGAAATAGTAGCGTGCGGAGAAAAACAAAAGAAATTAGTTGTCAAGGACTGCGTATGTACAGACGTAAACTATGCAAAGCTCTCTCAAGCAGCACGAACCAAACGAGCAGCAGCAGAAGAAATTAAGCTATATACAAACAGGCATATTCTCTATCAAATGTTTAGAAATCTTCATTATCATCTCCGTGACCTGCGCGGATCTGTCGCTTCTTGCCGACGCCACTCTCGAGACTCTTTCGTCCCCAAGCTGCCCAGTCCTCCCTCCAGTCGCCGCTCCCACCCGCCCAATCGGACTACCAGGCAGGTGGCATTGTCTCCTTCACGAGTCACCTCGGTCGCAAATTTGACCACATCGGAAGCACCCTGATCAGGGGTCTTCGCTTCCTTGACGATGTCGACGACCTCTTGGTCTAGGAGCGTGCCGCTGATTCCGTCCGACATGAGCACCAAGAACGAGTACTCGGCTGGCCCCATCTCAATGCGACGGATCTCTGGCTCTGCCGAGACACCGATGCGCTTGGACTGGACGTCCCCAAAAGATCGAGTGTTGGCAAGTCCGCTCATCCGCTCTTCTCCGAACGAGTCTGTCACGAACGTGGTAGCATACCGTCGTAATCGGGAAGCTTCAATAGGCGACGAGGGGTGATGGTTGGACGTGACCGGGATGGCTTGGCCTGTCAAAGTGGAACATAAGAGGATCCGAGTATCCCCAACATGCGAGACAAGCAGGCTAGATGGAGCATTGGGGTGCCAAAACGGAGCGGGCGTCGGAGTTGAGATGAGCGCAACACTGGCCGTGCTGCCCCCCTTGAAGCGATTGACCCCGCCAATGTTCAACGATCGGGAGCGGCCTGGGCCATACAAGATATCATCTTGGTGCATTGGCTGACCGACCTTTGTAAACTCATCGTCTCTCTTGGCCGCTTGCGCCGAGACAAACTCCAAATCGGTCCGGAGAAAGGCATACTCCAAGATCTCCTCAATGGTGACTCCCATGCCAGAATCCACATCGGTCGTCGAGTTCTGCTTTCCGGCATGTGTAAAGTGAGGTGGAACAAATCTCTTGAAATAGCCGCCAACCAAAGTCTTCCAGTTCTGCACTAAGATCCTTTCTAATTCTCCGATACGTTTAGAGTTACCGCCCTGTACTATGGGCAGCGCTCCGGATGAGGGTTCCGCGCCCCGCGGGAACTGGCCGCTTGAGCCTTGTTGGAGACTCGATTGCAGTTCAAACGCGGCCGCGGTATCTTGAATATACTCATGAAGCCAGTCCTTCAGGAAAGTACTGCACTCCGTTCCACCATGACCGTCAAAGACACCGAAATAGAAGACCTGCGGATCCCCGCTCGCGCTGTCAGCCCCGCGGCTCTCTCTGGGGACAGGGATAGTGCCAGTCTTCTTGATCGTCAAAGAAGCCGGTGGACGTTTCGCAAAGGCGGGTATATCGATGACGCCAGCCTGGTAGGCATCTTCATTGTAGGGTCGTGTGCCTCGGGAGCTGTGTGCACCGAAGTGGTGTTTGGCGCTCCGCAGTGGGATGCGAACAACAGTGGTGTCCCGGTCGACAAGGGGCTGGAATGCGGCAGGAGAATGGGAGATCTCGCCAGTATGCGGGACCGAAGCTGAACGAGGTAGTTTATGGAAGGGGGCCAATGGACCCCGGGGATCCGGGTGTAGTGAGGACGAGGGTAGATGAGTGACGAAATAGTCGTGGAACTCGCGACGCTTGGTGGGGCGGATATCGTCAGGAACGATGTACTTAGTCGAGTAACGACGAGGCCGAGACCAGATAATATAGACTAGAGAAGGAGACGGGAGGAGGTTAGCCAAGGGGGGGATGGTGAGACGCGAATGCAGGACGACCATGCAACTCCAGGCCGATCTGGCTGGGCGCGAAAGGCCCGGAGATAAGAGAATCTGGGGGAGGAGGCGAACTGACGATAACTGTCGGCCAGGGTCCGGACCTGGACGGAGACTCGCTTGGCGGGAGACCCAATCATGAAGGCCGAAGCATTGGTAGGATAGTGTCTATGGAAAGTCTGGGAGAGCAAGTAGAGAACACGAGCACAAAGGGAGGTGCCGGACACGAAGCAGGAAGAAGGTTTCTTTGCCTTTTATCGGGAATCCGCGGGGGCTGCTGATTTTGCGGGCCGAGCAATCAGCGCGGCGGAGAAACACAACGGCACTTCGTTCTTAGTACTTCTTTTGCTTCCACTTCTCTTGTTTTTGTCTCTCCCTCCCTCGCAGAAATACCACTGCAATGTTCGCTGCATGCTGTGGGTTATGCTTTAGGCAACAAACTTGTACCGGCTTGTCTGTTGCTAATAGATGGGAATTGTGAACTTCTCCATTGTTTCCCCTTTCCTCACCTAGTAATCTACTCCGAGTCTACGTCTATGCGACTACTACTATATTGAAGGAGCAAAAACACTTGAAAGAAAGCGATGAACTTCTTTTTCGTGGTAATTTAGCCTGTCTCATCACGTTTGACTCCCTCTCAAATGAACAGAACCCTGGAATAGGATAAGGATATTCACTATATGAGCTCTCGATCAATCTTGGACAACGTCAATGCTGTAATTGACGCCACACATAAGCAGGTAGATGACAAGTGTTCGGAAACGTTATGCGGGCCTGGTCTGCGTTGGCTCAAAGGCGAAGACGGAATAATAGTTGATGTGAGCTGACGGTGAGACACCAAGATAGTAATTCTGTTGCATCAACTGAGTAAGCGAAGTGGTTGGGATGGTTCCCAATGCCACCCTGCGTGACCCGGATAAACATCCTTCGCCTTTGATTCAACCTTGTTGTTGAATTTCTAGATTGTCACCTAGCCAAATTTCTCTACAGCTCGGTGAGAGTCCACATCAGAATGCACGGAACAACATCCTCAGGGGCAGGTGTTGTCGACGTTGTGGGATACGAGGTAGTAAGACTCTGGCCAGATTGATGACAGGCATGGGGGCCCAAACTAGGCTATCAATATCTGGTGATGATATCAGAGTCGCACTCTTATATGCCGGTCTTGATTCCCATGGGGATAATTGCACTCGCAACTCAAATGCTGCGGTGTCGCTGATATCACTAGGAGCCGGATTAACAGGCTAAAACAACTTAGAGAGCTGCTTGTTCTGCTCCGGCTGTAGTTCATGTGTGCTTTGTATCAGTCCACGTGGAGGGCATACAGTCTGGACTGGCTGTAAGTAGGAATATACTTACTATTGCCCCTTATGATGGATGTTGCGTTGGTAATGTCTCCAAGGTGATGTTATACATTCATGATCGAGAAAATAATCAATGGAGAATCCTTGGTGGCATCGAATCTAACCGCGTTTATCGTAGCATAGCCTAGACGCTGGCAGCACTCCTCAGGTATAGACACTGAGATGATGTGGTTACTGGGCTTAGTGAGAAACTACAGAAATCCTTCCATGACTGGCAAATTGTCAATTAACAAGGTTACGAAAAATGGACTATTTGGCGCTAACGCAATGTACAAATCCCTATAGACAAGATCATTCCACGAGGCTCTCGGCCTGATAGACAACCATAAAGGGTAAGATGTCGAGAAGACTGGCACCTACCAGGGGCAGTGTCATCCAAGCCAAGCACCATGCCGAAGCAACCGCTCAACAGTTCAAAGGCCAAAGTGTGGTCCGGCCGTCACAGATTGCACCTGGTAAGAGAGATAAATTAGATGAAATACCTACCCATATGTGGTCATGGTAGGCGCGGGCCGATGTCATATACTTTAGATCGCTTTGGTTCGGGAGAACAGACTGCTGTAGACAGCGTCGACGACGGGCTGGGCGGTGATCTGTCGACCACCAAAGAAACGCCCGTTCAGGCCCTTGATGGCGTTCTCGCCACCCTGGACGCGGTCGAACTTCAGGTAAATATCGCCTTGCGAGTTGGGATCTAGTGCAATGTGAACAACATGGCCATATTTGTCTTCGCACTCAGCGCGAACGTCATCCTCCAGCTCCTTAATCCAAGCTTCACCCTCCTCCCTGCGATATTGTTAGTATCTGTATAGAGAAGAAAGATAGTGAGCAACTTACTCGTTGGGGTCAAACATGTTGCGGAGCATGACACACCGACTTGCCATGTTGACGTTAACAGGCAGAGGCTTAGCCTCAGTCTTGGGACGGAGCACCTTCTGCTGGTCATCGGCAGCAGGCTCGGATGGTTCATCTGTTCTTGCAAGCTTGCGCATCAATGCATCCCTACTGTAGTTGTTGAAATTTACACCGGCAACATCCGTATCGTCCAATGCACTAGCACCGGCCCCCTTTTCGGAGTCACGGCCACCAGCGCGGTCGAAGTTGCTGGTACCGCCGGCTTGAACACCACGTCCTCCGTGACCCGAGAAGAGAGAGCCCTGGAAGTTATGTTGGTTTGCACCTTGGCTCTGCATGCGTTGTGCGTTCGAGTCAGGAGTGAACTTATCGTTGCCAAGGCCAACGCGGATTGCTCGACCAGCAAGGTCAAATCCATTCATCTTTTCCAATGCCTCACGAGCCTGGTTTGGATCACGGAACCTATACACGGTATTAGCAACATTTATTAATGATGAAGGGATAATGTATAGGGGTAACACTCACTGCACGAATCCATAACCCCTGCTACGACCAGTCTCGTCCTTCTGCAGCTGGACAAATTCGAGTTCGCCAAAAGGCTCAAAGACGTTCTGAAGGTCACTTTCAGTGATGCTGAAATGGATGTTACCCACGTACAACCTGTGAAATGGAGCAGCGTGATTGTTGCCGCTGCTGGCCTCGGGATTGCGGGCCTGGCGGTTCTTTTCCGCTTCAGTCAGTTGGGCGATTATGGGAATTCCTAGAAGTTTCTGTCCGGTAAGCTGGATAGCGGGCGCAACGGAGTCTTCGCTTTTGAACTCGACATAACCGACACTAGTGAAAGTTAGTACACAGCTCTCCTGTCATATGAAACGCAGGGAACTCACCCTTTAGACCGTCCACTGACACGGTCCTTAACGATCTGGGCTTCCTTGACAGGTCCGACTTTCTCAAAGAACGCAATCAGCTCCTTAGTTCTCAACCGCGCAGCAAGCTGCTGAACGAAAATGGTACGCCTGTCACGCTCATCCTCAGTAGGCTCCGGGGTCCTCTCGCGGCTTCTCGGGCTCGGGCTTCGTTTGCGGTCACGGCGAGTGCGTCTATCTTCATCTCGCTCATCGCGACGGGAGCGGCCCGAGGGGCGGTAATAGCGATCATCGTAAGGCGACCGAGAGCGAGTGCGAGCCCGTCCACCACCGCGGTAGAAGTCGCCACCAGAACGGTATTCGTCACCGTAACGGTCACGACGAGACCGACGGCGTTCGCTATCACGACTCCTGCTCCTCTTTCTGCTTCTATGGCTTCCGTTAGCACTGCCATGTTCGCTTCTCGGGCTCTTCATGTCTTCATCTCCATCGATATCTCGCGAGCGACGTCGATCACGGCTGCGGTCCCTGCGCTTGCGGTCCTTCTCTCGTGACCGATCGCGGTCCCGGCGTTCGTTACTGTCAGTTTTGGAGGAGCGGTCATCGCGGTCCTGGGAACGGGGAGGGTCTTGAGATGGCGGAGCAGCTGTGGACTCAAGGAGAGCCTCAACATCGAGACCTGACATTTTGGTATATATGCTGCAATTTGTCTTTTTCCTGGACTAAACTGAACAGAAAACAAATGCAACGAAGATTGCGCGGATAGGATTGAGGTCACTTTTGGCTTGGTAAGAGAGTGACGGCGTATCAAGCTTGACTTGAGCGAACCCTTCTGTTTCAAATCCGGAAACCCCCAAGTTGTTTCTAACTCTGTAATATAGAACGTTTCCGTGTCGTATAAATAGAAGTCGGAATGAGCAGATTCCCTACAAGAACTGTGTTGTAGCTGAGGAGTGAGGTGAAGATGTGAAGATACTGTCCACCTCAATGTTCTGATGGCGTGGGATGCCGACACGTCACGTGGTCTTGGCGTCTTTGCCTCCTTATCTTTTATTCTTTCGGTTTTTTTTTTTTTTTCGCCTACCAACAGGGCTATGAACCACGGCTCATCTAAACTTCAACCGTACCCCGGCTTGATATAGTGTAGGTGGGAGGAATATTATATTATAAGCGGCTATATAGTTTGTACAATGGTAGAAAAAGTTTTCACAAAAGCAACGAGAGTCATGGTCACATATCACGGAAGAATAAAACATGTCTTTCTTCCACCGGCCATGACAATCAATGTACATGAAAAAACTCACAAGCCCAACTCCGGAATGTCAGCGTGAGTAAGAATAGACACGCGTCGGCGACGACATTACTTCGTACATTAAAGGTATGGATAGAGAGCGATTAATGGGAGACACTGAGAAACCAGAGTATAAAGCATCAGGATGTCACGTATGTTCACTGGGTCTTCACGTTCTTGGGAGACGGCATCTCGAGCTCAGTGCCGAAGACGCGGTCCCAAAAGCGACTAGTGACGCCGAAGCCATTGTCGAAATCTGCGAAATGATGCTGAAGGTGGTACTTCTTGAGCGCCTTGTAATAGGAAGGGAGGCTTTTATCGGGCATCAGCGATTAGCAGATATTAAACGAAGTGCTCGGGGACCTGGTTTACTCACTTGCGGTGGTGGAGGAAGTAGTGGGTCATGTCATAACAGACATAGCCGAAAACACCTCCACAGAAGACTGTCACAGCGGCATACCAGTTGTAGAAGAACACCGTGTGCGCTAGTTTATAGAATGGGGTGGCCAAGACGATAAATAGAGCCGGTGGCATGACCAACCGATACTTGTCCATAGGTAGGTAATGATGGATTCCATGTAGCAGGAAGTGAAGGGTAAGGCCGACGCGGTTATCAGGAAGCCACCTACGAAGCATTAGCACCAAAAATTATGAAGATGAATGGGGCACAGCGTCATACTTATCAATGTGGAACAAGAACCTATGCATGATATACTCTATCAAGGTCCACAGGAAGAGACCACCGACCCAATAAGCAGCGGCAGCCGGCACATTCGCCAGTCCAGAGAAACCAACGATAGTCCCATATGTGATCGGAGGAAGCCACATGATAGGAACCACATACCAAGCTGTCTTGCTAAAAGGTTCAAGGAAGTTTCCAAAGAGCGGCGCGGACTCTCCACCTCTGTAATGACGCGGGCGGTGGATCTGATCCAGATAGAACTCCTTGGTGAAGCCGCTGTTCCAAAGCTGGACGAGGAGGGGCTTGTTGAGATCCAAAAACTTGTGTGTCTGATAATCCTTGGTATAGTCGGTCTCTACCGACAGGTCCTCTTCGCAAGACAAGCCAGTAGTTGCAAACACCGCCTGTTCTTTTGGTTGAGTGATGCCCCCATTTGCTGCCTTCCCGTTGGGTTCCGAAGAGATAAAACCGACAAGACACTCATCCAGAATTTCGTATGCCGAATCTGAATGGGCGTGGGATGCCGGATCGCGCAGTATCTCCGTCACGTCTTTACCAGCATATTCGAGTACCAGCTCTTCACCACCGGGATGACCGGCGACGAAGTCCGTAACGTCATAGACCTTTGATCCCAGGGTCACATAGCACGAGTTGGCATCGTTGTGAGACTCGACCTCAGCCGGGGTAAAAGTTGGAAGGGTTCTGCCAGGCATGATTGTCGCAAGGCAAAAGCCTAAAGAGCTAGTACCGTGTTGCAAGGTCGACGACGGAGGGAAGAGACGAAGGTCTGAAGGTAAGGGGTGTAATGCGAGAGTTGTAGTTGGACGGTTGGCGATTAGTTGTGGTGCAAACCGCTATAAATGGCTGAGGGAGGAGTGGCGTGAGCTTCAAAATATCGAGCAAGGATCACGGGTCCGAGGCTCCGAAGGAAAATTTCGCTGAAGCACTGAAACAACAGAGCACAAGAATTGCGAAAGTCTAGCAAGCACTGCTGCAATACAAAACGGTCGAGTATGTGGAGACTTTGTGAACACAGAAGCAATAAATCCTTCTCCTGTCTAATACAAAGAGCGACCGTATGGCTCATCATAGAGGAGGCGCTTTCTCAGGCCGTCGGGGATACAACGGAAATCCACGGAAGCCACTAGTCCTCTTCGGTAATTGCCCCTGAGTGGCCATATTAGTAAGCAGCCTGATATATCTTGTGCCTCAGGCCAAGATAAGGCATACATAAGGCAGCGACAGGCGCTTGACCGAAAGAAAGGCTAGCTGAACGGCTGAGGGGGTTTAAGTGGGCAAGGTAGTAAAGGGTACGAGGCTACAAAAGGAAGGCGCCCAGTTTTTGGGTCAGAAACTGAAAAGCATGTCATGATTCACTCTTGATCCGGAGCTCCTGCCAAATTAGCGACAGCATGCAGCAATGTTACCCCCAAGTATAGCGCTAAGCTACCACATTACTTTAGCACATTTGAGGCTAACCTTGCAACACAGCAGGTGAGATCGTCTACCGCTTCGCCGGTTGGTAGACAAGACACTACTGTGAACGGAGTACTAGATATATGTCCTCGATGAGATATTATTCCCTATGTTATGTGGTCAACACGTACGCATTGGTGCGGTGATCAGGGCGCATAATGGAGTCATTGTTGTCTCCATCTACGGAGCAAATTGCCCGATCACATGAGCCCATACAGGATAGTTGCGGATGCTGGTACCGAGTCACTGTTGTAGTGCTGTCTACCAGTGTCAGTAGTCTAGTAGGAGCTACTCCGCACCCACTATCTACATGATATCCGTCAAGTGATGGCCTGATCGTCAATAATCCTGCCTACCGGTTCATGCCACCAATGACAGACCAACCCGGTTTTTGGTGGTATTTGGTGGGACTCCATCCGGGATGTCTCTTTTTGCCTACGGAGTACTCCGTACTGGAGTATGGTGTAATGTGGGTTTGGCTCTGTGTGTGCGAGGAGCATAACACTACACTGTACCATCATATCCCGGTCTGTGGAGTTGAGACGGGGCACTGGTCACTCGCCGTCCGAGGCAAAAGCATGGCGGCCTGAAACTGTCTCCAAGCGGATCTCCTCCAAGAGCATGCCTCTTTACTATCGGGGTCGTCAAAGCGTCGACGGCAGCTGAGCACTGGGGCGGATCTGGGACGCATCACAAGACCCCCGGCAGTCGGATATATCACAGTACGTCTACTACTCCGTAGAGCTTTGAGCTTTGGGTGGCTTTTTCGGAATTTGAGAAATGAGGCTGTCATCCGAGCAAGCAGTGTGGCGTGCGTGATGGGAAAAGTCTGGCTAAGACGAGCCATTATGAGCAGCTTCCGAAACCAAAAGTATAAAAGCAACTAACGACGTTGAGAGCTGGGACACAAGATCGGCAACCAAGAGACTATCTGGATAGTTGACGGTTGAATGGGGAGGGTAAGCGCTGGGCAGAAAGCACTAGTAAGCGAGGATGGGGAGACTCGAGGAACTAAACGCCAGCCGAACCGAATTCAACGCCCGAACGAAAGTTGAGCCGTAAATTATGCTCCATTCCACAATGAATTTGGTGAAGTGCTACTGGCCGCATCGCATCCCGTGTTCCTCATAGTCCTGCTATTTAAAACTATCTATATTTATTTACTTCGTACTCGCCTTCGCCACACACAGCCAACTTTTGCATCCCAGATTTCTAAGTGGTCCCCTCAGCCGGGAAGGGCGAAATTACGGGCTGGTTAATGACCCGCCCGCTGCGTATGCGGCGTAAGTTGCGTAACATTTCCACTGTACCGGATCGCTCGTTCCGACAAGGCGGGTTCGCCCCTGTCCATATGGGGAAAAGGAAGGATGGAGGCTGGAGCTGGAGTGGATGAGTTGACGGGGCACTGGGCGTGCACTGGGCATGGCTGGGCGAGTAGGACAAAGTCTTTCTGTGGGTTACACTTGTGCCCAATAACAGGACAGGATTGAACAAACAATTGGAGAGAGAGAGGAGGGGAGGGGGAGAGGGGGGCCCCGAGAAAAGATGGACTGATGCTTTTTCGGAGGGAGGGACCTTCTGATTTGAAAGTTGAAACCGGGTATGGACTAAGTACTGTCGAGAGTCAAGGCGATCTCCATGGGTGGAAATCATTTGGAGATCATCGGAAGTGGAGGAGCTAAAAAGAAACTTGCAAGTTGAATTGAACGGGTTGATTGGAAAGTGTGATCCTCCATGGTTTACGGTGGCCATGGTTCGCAGATAGATTACCTCTGCGTCCCCTCTTACTTCCCTGTGCATTCGGTTTGGTTACTTCTGCGCGGTACTTTTATCGTACAGCTCTCCTCCGTTCCAGCCGCAAGTCACTCTCTGATCGGTAAGAAAAAAAGAAAAAGTATCGGCCGGTGGAAAGTCCCTCGGTATTTCCCCGTGTCGCGGCTCTCCGTCTTTCGATGAAGACTCGACTCGACCACTGCAGGCCAAAGTTGTACCAAGCTTGGGATAAGGTATGACCCATTTCTTCATTCATCCATTTAATTCGTTCAGGTCGTTCATTGTTTTTCTTTCTCCCTCCGTTCGCATTGACCGGATGCAGTAGATCCAACTTCTTCCAATTTGGCAGCATTCTTCCTATTGGGATAGTAACAGCCTATAAATCACCTCAGCCAAATAGATGAAAGAGGATGTTGGTGCCATAAAAACAAATTACTGTAGAGTAGGCTTCCCGTTCGGCATATTGCTTTCTCCCCCTCCTCCGCTCTCTCTCTCTCTCTTTCTCTTTTGAAAACGGATGGAGATCTGCTTGATCCGATTCCTCCTTCGAACCACATCCGAACGGGGCCCCCTCAACCCCTGTCGACTGATCATGTCGAGCTAAATGTCGGAAAAGTGGAGACGGTGTTCAATTGTCAATCATTTTGTCTCGACCGAGTCGACCAGTCAAGGGACTGGAAGTGGGTTTTACCTCCATTCTAATTAGTGTACCTCAGTAGCTCAACGGGAAGAAGCTCCCTGAGCCAGAAAGTGAGGGAAACAAAGAAGAGAGAAAAGAGAAACAGACACACACACACAGACATAGTTAACTAACTGACTGTGTCCTGTCCTTCCGCTTGTGCTCTTCCCAACCCTTTCATCTCTTCACTCCACTCCCTCTTTTTTCCTTCCCTCTTCCCTCCCCTCTCTTCTCTTCCTTCCCCTTAACTTCACCCCTCACTCACTCTCTTGTCGCTTGTTGCTTGTCGCTTGTCAGCCTACGCCTATTACCGCAATGGATACGTTTTCGTCGTCGGACAGTCCGTCCTCCCCCGGCAATCGTATTGTGTCCTACCTCCAAACTTTGGCCAAATCCAAGACCAAACTGCCTTACGGACTGCCTGTGTGTGTGTCCCCCTCTCACACGGTTACCAGCACGGACTCGCTCCTTCATCTTGCATCCTTGGTCGGCCCCCATATCAGTATCCTCCAGGTTCACGCAGATATCATCGATGACTGGTCCGAGGAAACGGTTCGCCAATTGACCACTCTGGCTAGAAAGCATGGCTTCTTGATCTGGGAAAGCGGTCGAATTCTCAATTCAACCGTTGACGTTGTCGGTCGGCAGAAGTCTGAATCGAGAGAAGTACGGAGCGGCGTGGTCGACTTGATACGGAAGAAGTACACCAGGGGTGTGGTGAAGCCAGCATCATGGGCGGGCATGTCGACAGCCTGGGCTTCGGGAGCCGCTGTTTACAATCAGGAAGCCGACATCTTGATTCCGACCTTGAAGGCTGCCGCTCGGGAGGCAGTGGCAGACGCTGTACAGACCATTAGAACCGAAATCACCGCCGACAGTTTCGCAAATGAGCATTCTAACAGCGATCAAGACTCGTCACAATCCCAACATCTTACTGAGTACGCGGTCGACCATAGTGGACTGGGACTGCCCCCACGGAAGGCTTCGACCATTTCCCTTACCCAAACAATCACACAGCATACCGAAGATTCCGCCGATTATCCTTTGGAGTCTCCTCAGTTTGAGCGCCACGGCTTCGAGTTTGGAACTTTGAGTCCATCTACGATACCTGAGGATCTTCCTCCCCCGCCTCTTCTGGCTCGTGGTCTAGTACTTTGTTTGCCATCCCGGACCGATACATCATTTACTCCCGACTACCGTCAAAGCTGCATAGCTGCTGCCCGTGCCAATCAAGACTTCGTGGTGGGATTCCTCTGTGGTGAACCATGGCACATTACCTCGCAAAGAAGCGATATCTTTGAGACAGGCCTGTCCGGTTACGGCGATGAGCAGCAGCAGCTTAGCCCATACTCGTCGGATGACGATGAGGAGCTTCCACACTTTGCGTTGTTCTCTCCCATCTGCCAAGGTCGACAGCCGCTGGATGGCAGCGAGGAAGAAGAGGTGGAAGAGGAGGAAGAGACACCTCTACCTGAGACCACGATACCAATTGAATCGCTCAACCCTCTTGCCGCGAAACTATTCTATGCTGCTGGGAAGGCATTCAAACTCCGCGAAGCAACCAGCCAGGAAAATGGAATCATGCCGAAATCCGACACCACCAAAAGTTGCCAGATCTTGCACATTCCTATCGTCTCGTTGCCGTGAAGAGGCGCCGCTGAAAGGATACTTCCTACGACATGCACCGCATCTTATTTTCTTTTCGACTTCGAATAAATAATCACCTATTCTGTTCGCACATACATATTTATTTTCGCTACTATGTCTTTTAAAGCAACATTATCGCACAAGGGGGTTTGGAGTTGAGCGCTGTCAAAACTAATCTATTCTGTCATGTTCAATCATTGCCATCTTCTAAGTACAACATTCGGGGGGTCAGAAACCATCTGTGACTACAGCCAAAGAGCATAGCAAATTTTCGCATCACTAGGTTCGGGGAATACAAGAATTTCAAATACCAATGACCACTAAATCGTAGGCATCCAATCGGGGCATAAAGCAGCCCGAGCTAATTGCAACGGCGCCATTTAAAAGGTGTTTAGATCCGTCCCTCAAGCTTTAAGTCCATTGTAGCCTCGATCCCTGCAGCGGTCGGGACCGACACCGGCCGAGCACTTCACAAGCATCTGGGGCCCTTATGGTGACCCTTTTCGGGTTTCAGACGCGTTGGCTGAGGCCGATCGTTAAAGGTGTATGTGGGTACGCATGTTTACATCTAGCCCGAACTTGAGCTCGAAGGCCACGTATTCGCGGTTAAGATAGTACGAAGGACTGTGCATTAATTCCGTATGTTTCCTATCTAACATGCTAATTAGATGAATAGTAGTATGGTCGTAGGCATCAATTCACGAGGTACCGCTTTGAACTTTCATGTTGACATGGGGACTCTCACTACTACTATTCGAGCAGTACCCCGGGTATCCATATACTACTAGTAGTGACTCGGATAGTATATATGTCTCCAGTTGCCGTGAGTGCTGGTCATCTAGGGCGGTCTACTGCCGGGAGACCGATACCTCTCGCTTGTTTCAAATCCTATCAACTGCATTGTATATAATGTTCTTTAATGATCAAGAAACTACTTCACTATCAAGAATGGAAGTTGCCAGACCAAGATGAGGAGAACGGCATTGAAGCATCCCCGCGGTGGGTCACATGACAAGATGGCTCGAAGAGGCAATTCTTTCGATCTAACCACCGCTACCTACTTTTGACCAACATCTCTTCTTTGCACACATATTGTTTCCATCATCCTTTAAATAATATGCTCGGCTTCTCAACATGAGGAGGCTGTACATAACGTCGTGATGCCAGTGTTCCGGCCAGTGGCCTCCAAACGTTAACCCAACCTCTTGTGGCGGATATCTCAATTCCTACCCCCGGCAGAGTACAGCATCCACGGACTCCTGTTTCAACGCTACGAGGAACTTGTTCACTCTACCCCAATGCTGTCATCAACTGCGCTGACATAGAGATTACCTACCATAACGTCCCCAAGGATATTGTGAACAAATCCAAGTGCACAAGATCAGCTAGCTCATCATGGACTCGGAGGGTGCCCCACAATCTCAACAGGAGAGTTCAATTTTTGGCATAGGGAAGCTGTCTATAAACTCAGCCGAAGGCCATTCTGAAGTCACGCATCAGACCAATGGTGTGACCCATCCGTTGCCTGACTTAGAGGAGTCGACTGCTCCCTACAAAGTCATCCTGCAGACAGGCGATGTGATCGTTGAATACTTCGATCCTGAATCTGATATCTCGACTAAATCCGAGGCGCGCCATCGTCGTTGGCGAGTCTCCAGCGCTGATCTGGCACAAAATAGCCCGTATTTTCGAGCCCTTCTTGACCCGGATAAATTCTCCGAGGGTAGACGCCTCATGCAGCAGAAGATGATGCATCAGAAGCTCCTGGCTGACAAAATGGTGAACGCTGCGTCTTCCGACAACCAAAATGCAGAAGTAAGCTATCTGCCTGTCGTAATCCTCCCGAGCAAACATGTCTCATCAAGGCTTGGATTGGACGCCATCAAACTGTTTCTGGAGATCTTGTCATTCAACTCCTTTGGAGAAGAACAGAAGTGTTCATTTGATGCGGAACTAAAGTTTCTGCCCGTGTCTTTGATTGCAAGGCTACTGGAGCTATCGGACGCCTTCAACTCTCCGCATGTCGTTCGGGAATCTCTCAAAAGAGCCGGCTACGCTTTCGGGAAGGGGAAATATCAACCTTCAAAATTTGACTCCTCATTACTGAAGCTGAGTGAGGACCGCATCCGACAAACTGTTTTTGTAGCCCGAATTCTGGATGAGCCGGTCATATATCAAGTGATGACCCATGCATTAATAGTCCTTGGCTCGAAGTCTTGGACAAACGGTGTCGAGCCTCCAGTTACTCCTACCTACCCCTGGCGCTATCTTCCCAACGGTATAGAAGGTATTATCATCAAACCAGTCACGCTAGACAGCCTTCCAAATCCATTCCAGGCAATGCTAATCATATCCCAGAGGAGCTCTACTTCCGCCGACAATGTGTTCTAAACACTATCACCGACCTCCAAGCCTACTTTCTCCGCGTCTACGGCGCCCTAGAAGACCCCGAGCCCCCCAAACCTTTTGTCCCACGACAACCACTCGCACCAGCCATCAACCAAGCGCGTCCTTTCCAATGCCGCTACGGCTTTGGCAACTCCAGTGCCTGCGACGCCTTCCATCTAGGGCAGATGACGCGATTCTTTTCCCTTCGCACAAAGACCATCTTTCTCGGCTCGACCCTAATCGATCCCGACTTCACCCTCGACTCAGACACTGACTCCACACCCGAACCACCACCAGCGCCTCCATCAGACATGACAGCCATCATAGCCTCTCTCAAACAATGCCCCGACTACCAAATAGACCCAAACCATGTCGGCTGCGGCATTCGCCGCCGCTTCCTCCCTCCACTGGACTGCATAGAACGCTTCGTCGGCGACGGACGAGGCCTCCTTGGAATCGACTTCCACTCCTGGACGGGCCAGGAATGGCCCTTTGCAATCTCGTCCTCATGGGCTAAACGTGCCCTTCCTCGCGCAAACGTCATCGATATCCGAATTTCTAAACTGAGCGCTGTACATGGGGGAAGCGGTGCTCGACTCTCACTCACCTCTCAAGAAGAGAACGCCAGGTTACTGTTTACCGCGAAAAAGAGGAACTGGGAGGCTTAGCTCAGTCTCCTTCTAGGCTAAAGTCTAGCTTCAATTTTAGCCTAAAGCACCTAATCTATAACTTGCGTGGCATCTAAGTTCCTACAATGACAGGGGGTTGGTTGTGTGCTTTGCACACGGGATACATATATGATTCTTGTATTTTCTGATATGTCGATATTCATCTGGAAGGGGAGACTCTGTATATAACTTATGTGACTTGGAAAAAGAGCATTTGCTGCCCACGTGAAACGTACAAATCGCCACTCTTTGCGTTGTAGCGAGGAGAAACAGTAGCCGAAAAGGTGCAAGTGCTATTGCGAGATGATTCAATAGCCATTCGATTACGAAAAACAAGTTAACTTTCAGTTCGACGAGGAACGAAAGACCACTCTCCAGTGAAATATTTCAGTGTCAGTCAGTCCGATAAAAAGACATCAATGATACAATACCACAAAAGAACCTCTTATCAACCTTTGAGTGTACAGCACGCACTCAGGACCAGAACACCGTAGAATAGTATCACCGGCTACATTCATGACTACTGCTATTGTGTTCGGCAAATATCTAGCCCGTAAGCCATTGATTATTGGGGTTATGCCTCACTCTGGTATCATTTGAACCTTGTAACTTCACTTGAACTATTATCTTCTGGACTATGTTTACTAAGGTATGTCTGACAGTTGCTAATAGCAACCGCTGTGGAGTGCTAGAAGTGAGACCAGCAAGGAAAACGGAGTTAGGAGCTATCTTGTAGTGAATACACATAGAAAGTAAAAATAAGAGGCTTATATTGGAGAATAAAACAAATAAAGAACCCTGGTCAAAAAGCATAGACACAACTCGCAGAAACCCAATTGGGCAGTCCGAACGTCATTAGTACTCTATACACCCAAGCAAAGGAGACATGAATAAAGAATCTACTCGATGACATATCCCTCAGCGACACTCTTCACATCCTTGGAGAAGCCAGTGCTCTCGCCTTCCATCTCCAGAAGAGTGATGTCGTTTACGTCAACCTCCACGAAGGGGTTGGTCTTCGAGAAATGCACGTTCATGGGGAAGAACTCGTTTTCATCTCCGTCGCCCGTGGACTCGAATTCGAAACTGCCAGATGCGTTGCTCTCATCCACGGTTCCGATGTTCCAATCCAGGCTGTCTCCAGAGACTTCATACACGGCGTCGAAGCTGGACACTGCCGGTTCTGTAGCGCCGTAGGGGATAGTGACGACGACGTCGCGCAGAGTGTCGGATCCGGTCAGCTCGTACTCAACGGTGACAGTAGTCGAGTCGGAGCCCTTGTTCACCCATACGGTGAACGTGATGGGAAGGATCTCAGCGTTGTCCGCTCCAGAGCTTGCGACACGCCAGCGCAGCACACCAATCGAATTGTTAGCAGGGAACCTCTTCGAAGTATCCTTCAATTGAATTGCGGAAGAATTTGTGAAGACGGCTTTGTCGACATTAGGGTGGGTGCGGAATTGCGCACCATGCGTGGGGTTGGCGTGGAGGTCGAGCTTGAGTTTGGTGAAAGCTGGGTCGGAGATTCGGAGTTGCAGATCGCCCTTCACCTCAAAAGATTTCAATGCACCCTCACGTGTAAGCGTGGCAGAGATTGTCTCTGCAATTGTGATGTGGACAGGATCCCGGTCCGTTGACAGCGAGGCACGGGCGGAGGATACCTTTTCGGCGATCGGGGTCGAGGCTTGTGGTGTCACCAAGGGACTAGATTCTTCGACTTCAGGACCAAGATCGCCGCGCACTTTCTCGTATATGTCGGTGGTTTTAGACTTCTTGCCAAGTTGCATGCCCTTGCCGCGGGTGGGTAACGGCCTGGGGTTGGGGATAGTTAGAGACGAGGAGCAGAGGTCAGGAATGGATGCACACACTTAGCGAAAGACTTCTTCTTCTCCGCCTCGTAGGTGTCGTAGGTATCGGGTACAGCTGGCCGGGAGGGGGGAGTATAGACGGGATAAGAAGGCGTCCGGGGAGCCATAGAACGACCACTTTTGGCGGCCTCTTTCCGTTGCATCTCCAGCTGCTTGGCCTTCCTTTTGCGCTCCTCGCTGGCCTCGAGTTCTTTGTTCTATCCGGCAAGGTCAGCCACCCGTTGACATTACAGCCAGGCGGGAATATGTATACTCTTTCAATAATCTCCTGGATTCTCTCCTCGTGACTCTCCATTTCCAGGAAGGTCTTGATCTGAGTAAGGGACAGATTCTCTCTGTACCCCAGAGTGACCAATTCATCATAGGCACTGAGCAGTTCGAAAGCATTGCGCAGAATCTCCCTCTCATCCAAGCTCTTACAGATGCTGGTGGTGACTTGGGCGAAAAGGTGGAGACTGTCGATGTCCTGCAAGATGTTCGACTGGCGGTTCGTAATCAGGACAATGTATAGCTCGTCCAGAGGCTGGTATACGAAGCGGACATTGTCCTGCTCCACGGTCGTATGCTGAGTACCGGAATCGGCCAGTTTGGGGAAGGAAGCGAGCAAGGCCTCGATTCTTGAGCGAGCAATCTCGCGGAATTGGCGCGAAAGTACGGCCTTGCCCCCGCGGGTGCATATGGAGGCTGCGAGGACGACCTGTTGTTTGTGCGCGATTGTTAGCAGAGCTCTGCGGAACAGTCGAATACCCAGAATCGAACCATGGCTGTGTGAATTAAGGTCAGGTGTCTAGTAAGAAGTGATAACTTTCGCCCAGATGGCAGCAATCTCCCGACGGACGAATGTCTGGTAGGCGTGTCTTGACGTCGAAGCCACGGGGAGTCGCTTGCTGTTCTCTTCGTCCCCGTTGGCCCGTGCGCCGCGCTACCCCCTCGCTTACCGCAGCACAAGAAGCTTCACTTTGCCTCAACCTCTCCGTTTGCACCTTACAAGTCAACCTTTCCTTTCACTTTTCCCCACACCTTTTTCAGGGACCAAACTGTCGTCACCGGAGACGCAGTTGCTCTTTTCACCGTTCTCGGGTGAATCTGTCCCTAGTGGCAAAGGCAGCTCACAAATACTGTTGGGTTGCTTTCAGGCACACCCCGAGATCGCCACGCCGAAACTTTCGACGCGTCTCTGCCTTCCTGTTGTAACACCTATCGCATATCGATGACATGACAACCGCTTCCTCGCTTGCACCTACCAACATGGAGATCTCTGTGGCCGACGATAAGATGGAGATGGCTTCCCCCTATCAAGGGCATGTGGATGACTTCGATATTGATATCGATATCATGGAAGACCAGGCCTCCGTTACCGATAAAGATATGATGGTGGCAGACGAATATTTTGAATATGATCATGATGGTACCCCCGATGAGGACATGGTTGACGATGTTGCGGAGCCGACCATGGTTGATGCCGACGAACCTTATACCGGAGCGGATTACACCGTCGAAATGCAGGACGAGAATGAGCGTATCTACGAAGCGGAAATGCTAGAAGATGACTACGAAGAGGACAACGATACCCCTGTCGTTGAAGCTCAAGACGAAGCACCGATATCAGCCGAAGCTCAGAACCAAGCCGCAGAAGGAGCGCAACTGCCAGAAGAGAGCGCTGTGATGCCCGGTGATGGAAATGACGTCCAGCAGGACTTCCAGGAGGAACCCCGTACGGATCAGCAAAGTCATGCAGATGCACAGAATGACCACCCGCAAGATGCTGAACAACTCGTTGACCAACCAGAAGAGCATGCCCCGCAGCAGCCTGAAATCGACACAGCCGAATCGACCGAAATCAGAAAGCCCCTCAATGACTCCAACACGGTGGAGCAAGAGTCCCAGAATGCCGCGAAAGAAGACGACCGGAGAGAGACTGCTAATAGCTCCGACCAGCCTCAGGTCCCGGAGACTGGTGCCAGCGACGCTGAACCTCCAGCCGATGCGCACAAGGATCCAGCTGCAAAGCTAGAGAGCACAGTAGAAGCAGAGCATGAGGAAGAAGGCCAAGAAGGAGGAGAAGGAGAAGGAGAGGAGGGCCAAGTAGAGGAAGAAGGACAGCGTGTTGAAGGAGGACATGGAGAAGAGGAAGCAAAGGTCACAAAAACTCAGGAACGCTCTCCGGAGGAGCAAGTCGTCGAGCACCCAGCCGAGCGAGAGGCTCCGGCGACGGAACGCACACCTCTCTATCCGGTCAAAGTCTATTACCAAGACAACGAGATCTCACTGTTCCCTCCTCGGGAAGGCGACTCATCGGAGACGTTCTTTCTTGAGGATGAGAGCCTGGCTTTTGGGTCTTTCGGAAAACTCTTCGAATCATGCCGTGAGGTATTACGTGAACATATCGGAGATGGTGAGGTTCTTGTTGTAGATGTCGAGGCTCTGAATATTCAACTAACCGAGGTTTGTCACTTGTGAATCCCCACTATTTGACATGTACTAATAATGACTCTAGGACTCACTTCACATTGACAAGGTCACACTGCATCAGATCGTAGATTTGTACCTCCGTCTTTGCCACAATGACGGGGTGGAGGAGCCGGAGGCGCTCTATCTTAGCCTTAGCACAAGGCCCACAGTTGCTGCAGAGCTATCCTCTCTCTCTATAGCTGCAAACGAAGGGAAAGGATTGTCTGAGGTCTACTGGGATGGTTACGGTGAAGGAGAGGCAGCCTCCGCAGAAGTCTACGAGGACAATCAAGAAGTATTCATTCCGGACGATGTTCATCAGGAATCTTCCGAACCGGAGGATGTTCATAGTGACTCTGAAGGAAACTATGAGCCGGAGGTCGATTCGCCGCTCCAGACAGAAACTGCTGCACAACAGCAAAGAGGGCATGACGATCAAGACCATGAGGATCATGATCAAGCAGCGCCAGACAACGGTGATGCGGGTGGCCCCACTTCAAGTGACGTTCGGGAAGGAGATAATGACCAGGACAGCAATCGTCATGAGGCTCATCTGGCTCAATCCGAGTCTGCAAAGTCCGTTGATCATCACGAGCCAAATGAGTCTTATGAATCAGAGGAGCAATCAGAGTCCACTGCTACGGTGACTCAACAGCCCCTGCCTGACTCAGCAGACGATCTAGCCCACCATAATCATGATGATTATGATGAGCATGAAACTGAGTATTACGGCACGGGAGTTGCTGATGAAGAAGCATACCCGGAAGAGGAAACTAATGTAGATGCTACTGAACACTACGATTATCATGAAGATGCCGAAGCAGTCGAAAATGCCGATATTTCCGGAGAAGCGGATGAAGAATTCGAAGGCGAAGCGACGGCACCAGATGTGGAAGAACCCCTCGCATTCGACGAAGTTCATGACAGCGATCAAGTCCAGGATGGCACAGTCGACGCCGACTTCGATGACCTTCAGGACGACGAGGGAGAGGTCCATTCTAGCGGCCCAGACGAAGAGGCATCAAATGAGACTAAAACGGTTCCGGATAGAGCCTCCCAGGATATCCCAGAGGTCACCAACAAGTCTGCCGAGGATTTGAAGGATGACTCACTAGGTACTGCGGAAGATCTGCTAAAGAGCCCCAGAAAAGACCTTCGACATGCCGTCGAGGACACCAATGTGGATGAACTCGAAGAGCCGGGAGAAATCCACGATGAAGCCGAAGAAGCTCCAGCTACACACGAGGAAGCCGATGAGTTGACATTTGACGATGAAGACTATCTGGATCTGGGAGTCCAGGATGGACTGGCCGCCGGCGATGAGGCGGATTTTGCCAAGTCACCAAGTCGCGGACCAACGAAACGTCAACGCGAAGCAGAGGATGAGTTTGAGTTCACTGAAACCCCTACTCCGGATGCAAAACGTTCTCGGTCGTCCTAAATTTTTCTTCCCTACCCACACCATCTGTTCACCTTGCCCTGTCACACACAACCGATTCCTCTTTCCCTGGGATTCGAGCTTCGCGTAGGCTCCATCTAACGATTCCAGCATATTGGGACCGAGCTGGTCTAATATGAAGTTCACGATCATTGGAACAACCCTGATATGTGACGAGCTACTAATGATGTTTCCGAAAGATGGCATCGGCCAATGAACTACGGAGACTTTGCAGCCATGCAATCCAGACAAGGTACGTGTTACTTCGATAAAATCCCCCCTCATGTTTCCTCCCACCGGACTGGTATGGCCGAGGCGATGATTCAGGGTCGCCTTGGGCACTCCACATACGGGGTGTAAAACTTAGGTTTGTACTTGATACCTCCCACCATTTTCAAATAATATTCTCGCCCTTGTGTTCTTTTTATTCCTCTTTGGTCAGTGATACCACCTATGATGAAGGTCTTTTGTGGCGTCTGGGAGTGGATACGCATCTCTGCTGTACTCGATGCAAGGCGTTGTTGTCATGTTAAATTCTAGGTAGCTTCCGCGCTGGCGGGATAGCGATAGTTGATTTTCTTTTGCGCCTAATCTCCTTGGGAGTTACAAAATGACAGGTTTCCCTACTTCAATTCGAGTTCCTGGGTTTTATCAGCATGTTGTAGATATTCAGAGGCTTCCTTTATTTGAAAAGGTTCCGAAGCCGAGACGTAGCTTGCTAGATAGGAAGACAGGCCCTAGAACGTGCTCTTCTTGATGACCGTGCTACTGGCTAGACGATCAACATTATCTAGAGCATAGCACGAATGATGCAGATGAGATCCGACAGGTCCAAGATCACGATAAGATGAGAAGAATATAAGCTACTACAACCGATTTACTGGTTGTGGGTGGATTGGTGTGATGAGTTCAATCCCCGGCCATGCCAAGGCGGTAGACACCATGCTCAGACGATCGGTGAAAAGCGCAGGGATTGAAGCTAAACCTAGGCAGGAGATGAAGTTGACCCCGGAACCAGAATTGAGGCGAGGGTTCCTATTCTTAGGCGGCCACCTTACGTTTCAAAACGCCGATCGGATACTGAAACCAGGCTCCTCAAGGGGGGCCGGGCTGTGGCTGGCACGCCTTGATTGGGTCACTGGAATGGCCACCGTTGCCCTTCTTTTCAGGCTTCATTACACTGTACCAGAACTCGAACTTTTACACTGTGTAGAAGGCAGTGTTTGAAGAAGTAACCCGTAACCAGTAACCATTTAATTAAACCGACTGTGGTTATCTAATCCTCCATTTATACGTACGGTACGTGTAATGCACCCGTTTCCCCATGTGAAGCAAGCCAGGCTGAGCAAGTACTTAGTAAGTAGTAGTAGAGGTGATTATACAAAGGGGAACAAACAGAGACTCAATTACCCAATTTCATCAGCATATTGTATCAGCAGCTCTCGGGGGAAAACTAGATCACTAACTCGGTTAGTCAATAGGAGTTCTCTCCTGGTGCTTACCTATAATTAGAGAGAATCTAGTCGTAGTTAGCAGCAATGTTAGTAGTAGTGGTAGGGATCATTCCTGGCCCGTACAGAAAAGAAAGTACTGCCTGGGTATGGTAACTTTTAATTAAACGCTGGTAACGCTGGAAACATGCTGGTTGCTTCAGCCGAGGACAACTTGGCTGGTGTCGGTCACGCTGTCGCCAAAGGAAGATTAACTGGTGTCTGTCCTCTTTGGACGACGTCGACCGCCTCTGGTTCTCTTTCTCTAGTTTTATGCTTTTCCGCATACTCCTGCTGCTAAGAGTCCCCCAGAATCTCGCCTTCCACCAGCCAAATATCGCCCCCAGCCCGTAATATCTTGGGTTTTGCCTCCCTCACTCGCTTCAACCACTTACGCGCGTCCAGATCCGGGCCGGTTCCGTCTGAAGGGGAAAACCCCACCGCACGAGCGCAGGCAGCCAGCCTCTAGGATCAGACAGGGTAACTAACAAGCTCTCCTTCGATCGCAGGAGTTCTCGACCCCCCCCAAACCTACTGCCGCATCAAGGCTGCAGCATCTTACCCTGTCCGGCTTACTCGCTCCTTTCTGTCACCCTAACTTTTTTTTTCTTCTCTCTCGCCTTTGGTTGTCGTTGTTGTTGTTGCTCCTCCAGTCCTTACCTAGGCGCTGTCGCTATTGTTTCTGGACTGCCGGTCATTGTTGGCGCGCGCTGCCGAATGCTTGGCTCAAGGTAGTCAACTCACTCAGTCATCAACCACGCCAACCCGTCCACCCTCTAGCCTTCCCATCGTGCCTCTCTTCAGCTCCGGCTCGGACTACACCTGTCCCAACACTCGTTAACATTGAAGTCGCTCAATTGCAAGGAGCAAACAGCTCCGACAGTTTCTCACGATGCTCTCCGAGAAGTATGATACGACCTGTCTCCAATCTTGGCCCGTTGGGACCATCATCGGATTCGCAATGTACTGACCGTGCGTAGGTATATCGGCCTCATTTTGGCCATTACATCAACAATGGCGATCGGTATGAGTCTTCCGTAATGGATTCGTTTTCTGCAGAAGCTGACAAGTATTAGGTACAAGTTTCGTCATTACGAAAAAGGTTCGTTCGTGTCCAATCGTCGTCGATGACCAGCCGCGCGGAATTGTCTCTCATCGATTTTACCGATCTTCGTCTCGAATAAACGACTGATTTATATCATACAGGGCTTGATGCAAGCATCCGAGAGGCATGGCTTTGAAGGAGAGGGTTTCTCATATCTCAAGAGTCCCATATGGTGGGGAGGAGTGGTTACATGTATGCCAGGCTCTGTTCTATCGACTGTCGCTTGAACAAGCGGAGCTGACTGGTGATGATGTAGTGGCCGTTGGAGAAATCGCCAACTTCGCAGCCTACGCTTTCGCACCCGCTATCCTCGTCACGCCCTTGGGTGCGCTAAGTGTCCTGATCGGGTGAGACTCCCCATCGCGGGCCGAAGTTACTATACAATGGGCTAACAGGCCATAGTGCTGTCCTTGGATCGTATTTCCTCAAGGAAAGACTGGGTACACTTGGGAAGCTAGGTTGTGCGATGTGCCTCCTTGGCTCCGTCGTCATCGTCCTTCATGCCCCCCCAGACAAGCCAGTCGAGAGAATTGATGAGATCTTGGGCTACGCGCTGCAACCAGGTATGGACCGATACATTTAATTCCAAACTCCCGTTGTCACCTAACACCATTCTCCCATAGGATTTCTAATTTACTGCCTCGCCGTTGCCGTCTTCTCTACCGTCATGATTTACCGCGTCGCTCCCGTCTACGGCAGAAAGAACCCTCTGATCTACATCTCCATCTGTTCCACAGTCGGCTCCGTCTCAGTCATGTCGATCAAGGCATTTGGTATTGCGGTGAAGCTCACCTTGGGAGGCAACAATCAGTTCACACAGGCCTCGACCTACGTTTTCATGATCGTCACGGGTTTCTGCATTTTGACTCAGATGAACTACATCAACAAGGCGCTGAACCAATTCTCTACCTCAATGTAGGTGCATGCCGAGCTTGCAAGCCGTGGATGATTGCTAACAATGTTTGGCAGCGTTAATCCCCTCTACTATGTCACATTTACGACTGCGACCCTGTGTGCCTCATTTATCCTTTTCAAGGGATTTAACACCACTGACGCTGTCAACACGATCTCCTTGCTCTGTGGATTTTTGATCATCTTCTCCGGCGTATATCTTCTGAATCTCTCCCGGCACGACCCAGATGGACGACAGATGCTCAACGCGAAACTTGACGATGAGGGAATTCCAACGGACGGAATTGCCGGATTCCAGACTCGGAGGTCTATGCAATCCCGTCGCAGCAACGAGCCTCATCGTCGGAGCTCCTCGGGAACCTACATGAACGGGCACGGAGACCGTGAAGGGCTTATGCGTGCCTATGATGTGGAGAGCCAGGCATTCGGGCTGTCCGACCTAGCCGGGGACAGTGACGGAGAGCCAGGTCCTACTTACAAGCGAAGTGAAGAAGTAGATCATTCTTCTCATCAGCCCAACAAGACTTCCGCACTATAGAATGATGCGATGCCTGGCTGGTTTTATTTTGCTTGCCGGCTTCATTTACGACCCAGAATATTGCTGTGACGTTTTCCTTTTCTATGTTGTGCTTCTCTCATCTTGCTTTATTTCTTTCTCCACCCACTTTGTTCCTCCTCTTATCCTCCTCGATGACCTCTTATAACCCCGTGGTTTGTGTTGATGTCCGCTTTCTGAATGCATTGTACTTTTACTTCTCTCCCCAAGCGCGAGGAAATACCAGGACGAGGAACAAGAGATGCCCATGAATGATTTGGATGTGCATTGGGATTGTTTGTTTTGAGTTCGTTATCTCTGACGTTTGCTGGTTATCCTCTCTTCTGGCATGAATCGCGGGCGAATCGACTGCGATAGATCCGAACTGTATATAGGCCCTAGGATAAACTTGGCAAGATAGATCTTTGTGTATTGACGCGCGGACGACCGGGCTGTGAGGCCTTTCCTACAGTGGAATCTTCGACCTTACTATGTACGCAGTAGATATATCTATCCTCTACCATTATCTACTAATTCGACCGCTTAGTGGTATGGGGCGCAGGTGACGTAAAGGAACGATGGATGCCCCTCGAGATCGGGCTGGTCTTGTTTTGTGGTTGGGTTCGGCCGCCCAGTGGGGTTCGCGGTTGAAGATCGATGATGTCGGGCTCTCTCTGCCTTGTTGTCCTGACAGGCGTTGGGATTAGTCTTGGGCTAGTGCATCTACCGACCTTCTTTTGCCGGATGGCCTGTTCTATAAAATCCCCACCGCGGAAGCCATAATTTTGAGATATATGCCGAGCTATGGTGTGAATGAACAGGCTAGAGATGTTCGGCTCTGCAGCTTAGGCACCGCATTATCCACTGAGTCTTCGCTCGCCTCGGAGCTCTTTGCGCTTCCCCACTGACCGCGACCGTCGCAACCCCGCGAAGCTCAAGCGACATGCCGAGCTTGCTGCGAAAGCTAGTCATCATCGCCGCTGTCGATGGCCTGATACTCCAGTCTTCCGGCAATGGATTAAGACATGCTGGGAATAATGAGCCCAGCTCTCTCCGCATCGACTATAAGACCAACAAGGTCTCCTCGCTCCCCGCGCCGGCCTCGGACCTGGACGAGGACAGAGACTCCGGCTTAGAGACTTATGGCCTCGTCGGTAAGCAGCCCGCCCCTTGCTTGAATACTAGTGTAGCTTTCTTCTGCGCCCTTTTTTTTTTTTTCTGTCTTGCGTCGGCTGTTTATGTCCCGATTAGTTGCAGAAAGCCTCTTCGCTAACGTCCAACGTGCATCAAAGGGCTGCTATCCGTTGCGTCATATTCTTTCCTCATCTCTATCACTCAGCGGCAACAAGTGGCTCAGATTCAGGGAAAACCCATTTATGCCGTGACTAATGTCGCGGTAATCCCGACCTCTTCGCAAGCAGATGCGATTCGCGCGATCTCTCAGGCAAAGGAGAGCCTATCTCACGGAGAAGGTGGACCGGGCGAGACTGCCTCCGATGACAGTAGCACGATTTCGGACACCGAGACTGAAGGCGGCGACACTGAAGTTGGCACCGTTCCAGCTTCCCCTGAGCAGGAAGTCACTCATTCCCGAGCTCGCAGTGTTGGCAGCATCGCTGAAGATGTGATTGGAAAGAGAGTGCGATTCGGACGTTTTGCTGCAAACTGGCTCTCAAGGAAAACTCTTGGATTGCCCGGGCTTGGTACTGTAGGTCATAGTTCTGCAGAGCCGCTCGTGGAAGATGACAAGGGGGAGTCCAAGCCCGTATCTGCTGAGGTGAATGATGAACGTGCAAGCCCTGTCTCGCAGAGTCATGATGCAACGCCTAAAACACTTGGAGAGCCGTTTCCCTCCGATCCAACCGTGGAGTTGCTTCCGAAATTGCTACGTTATACCAAGATGATCTTTTCTTCCCAGAATTTCTTTTTTGCATATGATTACGACCTTACTAGGCAGTTCGGGACGCAGGAAGAGTCACCGCTCAAGAATCATCTGCCGTCGCACAAGATCGTTGATGAATTGGTATAAGCCTTCCCCTTGTGACGGACAAGATGCACGTGCTAACTCACCATCTCCAGTACTTCTGGAACCGGCATCTGATGGCTCCCTTTATCGCAGCTGATGCTCACAACTATATTCTTCCGTTGATGCAAGGTTTTGTTGGCCAGCGAGAGTTTACCGTTGAGGCTGCAGAGTCTACGGTAGAGAATCAACCCTCAGACTCGGAGAAGTCCAACGAGGAACTCAAGGAAGGACGCATCCTGGGTGACAAGCAAGAGGCAGAAGCTGTTCAAACCAGCGAGAAGAAGCGTGATTATCTACTCACCCTGATCTCGCGACGATCTGTCAAGCGTCCAGGTCTACGATACCTGCGCCGTGGTGTTGATGACTTTGGGAATACCGCCAATTTCGTGGAGACAGAGCAGATTCTCTCCGTTCCGGATTGGGATCCGTCCCATAATGCCTACTCGTACCTTCAAGTACGCGGATCAATTCCGCTGTACTTCTCGCAGTCACCATACGCCTTCAAGCCAGTCCCGGTTCTGCACCACTCCACTGAAACCAATCAACTTGCCTTTGATAGACACTTTCGAAATCTCAGTCGAAGATACGGGAAGATCCAGGGCGTCTCTCTCATCGACAAACAAGCCGGAGAGTTAAAGCTTGGAGAACAATATGAGAAGTTTGCAAAGGCTTTGAATGAGTCAGGTGGCATAGATGGTGTGCCGCTTGCACTGGAGTGGTTTGACTTCCACCACGAGTGTCGGGGTATGAAATTCGAAAATGTAAGCCGCCTAGTGAAGCATCTGGAGGAGACGTT